TGTGGTGAATACTTGACATACATGCTACATATTTTTCATTATTTTTTTGTAAACCTGGAAAATCCCTTTTCATAAATATCGCTCTTTAGCGCCCTTCAACATTTTTTCCTCTTTTTTTTCATTATTTTTTTATGCCAACTCCAGTGATTTTCGTGACCTCAAAACTTATCCCAAATTTTGATGTATTTTAGGTTAAAAAGATAAAATTTAAATAAAAGATGACGCTCGATAGATAGTCCACCCGGCCCTTAAATAAATTAAATGCAATTCAACGTCTGTTGAGGTACTACTAACATCACCAGAATTTGATATCATGTGTAATCTGGTCTCGCTCGTCAAGTTATTTCTCATCTAATTGAGTCTAACTGAATTTTATTATTGATTCTGCTTAGTTATGGTGTTGGCGAATTATTTAAGTTTCGATGAAAAATTGGTTGGCGGATTCATATGAACTGACTACCCTATTTTTATTTATCTTTATATTTGTTCCGTTGCTAAAAGGCAATTCCAATAAAAAGATGATTTTTGCATCACAAGAATTGTAGATCAACTCTTGGCGCTGTAGAAATAAAATTTTTGAACGATGCAACCATTAAATGGATTCTGTAAACATTTGATAAGATAACTTCCTCCTGACAGGTACTGCTGCAGGTCGCGTGTTCCGCGTACTGGACGATGAACGGTCGCTTGATCATCGCCATCCTGACGACGTGCTGCGAAGCTTTTGAGAATGGAAACCAAGCGGTGAGGACAGCCGCCCAAGCAGCGACTAGTCAAACCCTTCGTTCATTTTGTCTATTCCTAGGTATTAATCGCTCCCCAACACTTGAATTACAAATGCTTAAAGTACGTCCTCCACAGATGAAGAGTGTCAGGAGATGGACGAATACGCCAAGCGCAATAAAAATTTGCGCGAGAGAGGGGTTTCCTGTTTCAACGAAGCCCTACCGATCCTTCAGTACATCTGCAGCCGTTTGGACGAGGCACAGAGGTGAGTAAAAACTCCCAGCACCTGCTCAATAAAAAATCACCAAAATCTGGAATAAATCTCTTCAACTTGTCAGAAGAAGATGTTCCACCGGTAAGAATGGCAACACCATCGTCTTCCTTCTGGAGTGCCTGCACACCCTCATCTCGTCATTACCCCAGAAGATTCACACCAATGCCCACTTCACAACTTTTCTCTGGCAGAAGTTCTGTCCGGCATTGATCGCGTTTCTAGGAACCCCCCGCGTGGACAAAACATTTACATCGCGCGAGGGTAAAGACACCGAAGTGGGCCGGGGATCTGGTTACACAACATCAGCTTTGAGTTTTGATAATCACCAAGCGAAGACTGTATACAGGTACGAATTTCTTTCATCTATTCCTGTCTCTTCCAAAATGAATAAAGAAGTCCATTTCATTTTGATAAATCCACAGCATTGGAACGGATCTGGTGCGCCTCGTTGGCTGCGTTGGACCTCTCCGGCCAGTTCTGGAATCAGTATTCCACCGAATGCTACTGTATCCACCCCCTCAGCAGAGGTTAGAGCCCCTGAAGGCCCTGCGGGAGCTGCTGCGTAGTCCAAGCCGAATAGTGGACTTCACAGGGCCGCTCCTGATCGAAGAAGAAAAGACCAGTCAGCCTCAGAGTGATATGGCCCTGATGAGACTAGCCATGGACTCCATCGAGGAGTCAACTATGGCGGGTCAATCCACCCTCTACGCGAGTGTTTCCTGCGTCGTGGCAATGCTGTCAGCCCTGCAAGAACTTTGCGAGGGCAAAGCCATCAGTCACAGCTACACCTGCACCATCAATACCCTCTACGAAAATCTGGAGTCCTGCGATTATCGTGGACCTTTGACCTACCAGAGCATGGCGAGACTCCCTAAAACCTATCGAGAACAGTTAGAATTGATGAAGAAGTCGAGCGATTCTGAGTCGGATTCCTCTGGTCACGGGCCATCGGAGGACGGTGACTCCACCGATACAGAGGGACCACAGAATGAATCAGACGACGTCAACGAGGAGAACAGCATCGACGAGCACGATTACGCTATTGAGAACGAGAAGGAACGACTGCGACTGGAGAAACTACCAAAGTGTCTTCACGTCGGACGACAAGCAGCTGAAGAGTGCAACGTTGACGTTGAACGACACAACGCACGTCAATTCGTCAAGATCTTACGTACAGACCTCATACCAAATGTCTTAAATCTGAGAAGTAATATCGAGGTCGACGAGGCGCTTCAGAGCTTCGCTTCGGAATACTGTCAGGGTGTCTTTGCTGCGCAGCAGAAGATTCAAGATCGAACGCAGATGAGCGTTGATACGTGTGCCTTAATCACGATAATGAATGCCGATGGTATTTATCTAGCTACTTATGCAGCACTGCTGCTCAATCTTAAGCTCATCAGGATGAACTACTACTGCTTGGAGGCGCGACAGGTGCCAGTCAGCGAAGGGCAGTTTGTCGAGGAGGTGCATGGGTCTGGAGTTCTTGTTTACTTATCAGCGACGTGGCTCTCGGAATTGTACCAGCAGATCTTGGCTTGCAATCTTTTAGAGAAATGCGGGTACAATCCTTCGTCAACTGAGAACTGTGCACTTGTGAATATTCTGGTGGATGTAGATGGAATCAGTGAGAGCCAGAGGGGAGGGCAGTTGCTATCGGATTACCGACGCCTTGAGAAGGCACAGCTGTCCAGAAGTGAACCCACACCTGAGGCTGAGGCAGGTGCCAAATTGTCGCGCAGGGTGTTGTCCTGTTGTTGGGCGAGTATGATGACGGTTTTAACCGCGGGGTTGAATCCAGTCAAGGAAGAATCCAATAAGGGTCTTCTGAACCGGGATAACACACGGAGAGGAATAAGGGACACAGTGGTTCTGGCGTTGGATGGACTCCACAAAGCAGCAACCCTCAGCAATATTCTAGGTTTGCAGAATCGCTGTGGTTCGATTTTTGCTTTGCTCGCGAAAGCTGCTTGCACTGAGCCAGCGATATCGAAGCTGAGGCGGACAAAAGATGTTCTCAGGCTCAAATTGCAAAACAGAGCGACGAATATTCATACGTCGCATGCGTTGAGTATGGAGGTGTTGCTTGGAAGAGGATTAGAGCTTGGGAGTCATGGTTCTGACTGCTGGCCTCATGTCTTCACGTGTTGTCTGTATGTCAGCAAACTCGAGCACGATTTCTTCGGGAGGAACCAGACGCTCTCCCTGCCGAAGGTCGTCAAGAGGGAGAAGAAGGAAGTGAACACGTCGGATGGCAAATTGAATGACAGGAACAAACTGAACTTCAATATTGTCGACGAGGAGGAAACTTGCGTGGATGTTTACAGCTTCTTGTCAACTCCTTACAGCCAGAACACCATTACCGATACAATTCCAGAGATCATTCAGGAATCCAACGCTGATAATCAGTTCAATGGAATTCTTCCAGCCGACTACGCTGCAAAGATCATCTGTGTTTTATCCCAACAAGTTGATAGACTGTTCGAAGATGCTGCTTTGAAGCTGAACTTGAAGGCCCTGTGCTCATTTCTATCAGCTCTGTGCTGCGCCAGTAAAGACCAACTCTTCAAGTCCACAGAGAGCTCGAGAGATAGCAAAAAGTTCTGGTGGAAGAAGAGCAAACCTCGAGAAGAAGAGCTGAACGTTCTTCTGCTCTCGAGATTGGGTGAAGTGATGCTGAAGTGTGTGAAGAGTGGACGACCCTTAATCCATGTGATGAGGATTTGGAGTATATTGGGGCCCCATTTCATGGAAGCAGCTTGTCACAAAGACAGGGAGATCTCGAAGAAGGCAGTTCAGTGTATTCACGACTCGATGGCGGCATTGTTGAATGAACAGATTGAACTGCCCCACTTTCATTTCAACGAAGCCCTATTCAAACCCTTTGAGAATCTCCTCTGCCTCGAGCTCTGCGACAACGATGTGCAGGACCAAATCGTCAGCTGTATCTGCGAATTCGTTGAGACCAATAGAACGGAAATCAGATCTGGGTGGAGGCCCCTATTCGCTGCTCTACGAGTAGCTTCCGTTGGGAATTCCGATGCTGTAGAGTCAGCACCACTTCTCGAGGTGTTCCGAGTGTTCCTGTCAACAGACAACACTCTTGTATTTGCTAATGCCGCATTGGATTGCATTCTGTGTCTCTTGATGCACGTCCGGGGCTCCGGGGAAACCGAGACACCCCAGGATATCGATCAGATCAACAATGCAGAGATCAGAAAGATGAGGCTGTGCTTGGAGAGTTTGAAGTACTTACTGAATTGCAGTGATATCTTATCCTCGATGTATCGAATGCCCGCATGCCCCATTTTTCATTCAGTCGCTGGAAGTCAGCTGTTCACAATTCCCCAATACGTTGACCCAATCATTCCGAATCTGGAGCTAACCAAATTCGAGAGATCTTCCGAGTCGATGCAGGAGATCGTGCCGGAGATTTCTTACGAGATTCTATCGAGGGTTGATAAAGCACAAACGATTACCCTTCAGAGTATGGAGAAACCCAGTGGAATACTCAGGGTGTGGTATCTTCTGATTGAAGGACTTGCCAGTGCCACCATTCTCTGCCCCAGGAGATATCAACCGCACACTCTTGAAACACTTTTCCATCTTCTTCGGGATGTCCTCAATGTTCCGGGACCCGCCTTCGGCCTCTACTGCGTCAATCATCTCCTTCTGCCGATGGTTCAGAATTGGTTGAGAATGACCTCGAAAATATTCAGGGGCTGGGACAATTTCGCACCGAATTTCAAACAATGCTGTGGACTTACCACAGATCTCGTCGTTGATTATCTAACTCATCTTCAAGGTATCATTATTTATAATTATTAATGCGTGGGTAATTCTACTACCATTAGCTTATTATCATAATTGTTTTGTTAATGAATTATTAATTTTGTTCCAAATGGCATTAAAGAGCACATAACATGTTTTTCGTGAACATTAATTTTCCATTATTACTGATTAGAATTTTATCAATATGTTGAAAAATTTTTTTTTATCCATGATAATGATAGCGATCGTTGAAATTGATAATCAGAGGGAAAATTGATACATCTGTTAGGGAACAAACTCATCTCGGGACTCAATTAGATTTCGATGGACAAAGCTCATTACGCTATTATCTAATTAGATAATGCATGACGCTACTCTTGTCATGTTTAAACTCAATTAAAGGCAACGGATTTTCTAGATCCTAATTGAATTGATTTGGTTGGCGATTTGTTTAAAAACCCATTATCACAAACATTGAAAATTAAAGGAAATATCAAATTAACTTGTGCTATTATGGAATAACAATTTCAACCATTGAAGTTATTTTTTGAAGACCTTCGATAATTCCTAGAATAATTTGGAGTTTCGGTAGATGAATTTTTTCCAAAAGTGCTGTCCATGATGAAAACAAATTGCTATTTGCAGGTCCTGAGGTAAAGCGAAAGGACGAATTACTTCCGGCCACTACTTTAATGCTGAAGCAACTGCTTTTGGTGATGGCGGAATGCGTTGTGCAGCAAACAGAGAGTATTGCAAGGCTGGGGTGCGCCTGCATCAGGTAAATATTTCGAAGGAAATCAACCATTAAAAGTGATATTTACAATTCAGTAGTGCAATACGCTTGGAATGTGAAGTGGTTTTCCAGCACATAAAAGGAAATATCAGAGTAGTGTATCGGTAAGACGATAACGAAGCTTGACAGTCTGTCGGATAGGATATAAGGTAGCTCCTGATTCCTATATGTGGGTAAAGGGTGATATTTGAGACCCAGTGGAACCCGTCAAACATCCTCGTGACTAATACGTCTCCTATCGTCCATGTTACCATTTTTTATTTTCAATTCACTCAATGGACTTGTTTCGCGTAATTTAATACCGATTGATGACTTTCTTGCTGTCTAGGATTTCATAATCTGACATAACATCGGGAATTGAGAATTGAGGGAATTGAGTTAATTGGAACGAGTGTTTGGTGTTACAGTGAATTTTCTGTATAACATACTACAAGGGACTGGGGGAATAAAATTTCCAGAATTATCCTTCCTCCATTCCGCGTACTCCCAAGCACTCTCAAGTCTGAGATTACGATGCACTCTGCATTCTCCTTCTGGAAATATGTATGGGCATATGTCTGGGCCCAACTGATAACTCCATTGCATGAATATAGTACAACAGTGAAATTCCATCTTCATTAAAGACCCTAACGGCGATGTGAACCGATTTCAACAATTTTTTAGCCACACGCCAGGATTTCTCAAGTTATTTCCCATATCAATTCGTTCTACCTCTCATTGTTGTTTTGCGTAAAACCATCACTCTTTCAATTGAATTTTTTATCACTGGGATCTGTATAGATGAGAAAAAGTGCAAAAATTGCGGAAATCGCAAAAATCGCAAAAATCGCAAAAATCGCATTCTTTGCTCAGCGCATTATTGAATAGTCGGGGACGTCTCTACAAATATGCTTATATCTCGGCAAATACTTACCGCAACGATTTTTATATATATTTATATATGATTATATATAAATTTCGAAACAGCAGAAATAGGATTTTTTGAAAATTCTCATTGCGTACAATCCTTTAAAAGGCATTGGGCATCCTAGACAAAGCGTGTGATTCCAAAAGAAAGCGTGAGGAGTGGGGATAGTAGATTGGCGAAGCTTCATCTATATTTTCTTATCTACTTATAGACATATCTTCTGATTTTCAGACATGTTCTCGTTAGCAGCGGACCAATTCTCACCCCAGAGCAGTGGGAAGTCTGCGGTATAGCATGCTATCGTGCCTGTTCAAATTCCCTTCAGGAATTACATCAACTTACGATGGCATTCTCACCCAGATCAGAGTCTTTTTACGGTGACATCGCTCAGGTCAAGGTTGCCGCCAGGCGAGACGCCACGCCTGAGGAATCGGAACGTCTTCGTCAGCTGTCGGCACAGGTTTGTCATGATTTTCTATGGAATCAGGAATCCCATTGGCTTTAGAGATTGTAGCGTCTTCGAGGAGACACGAGAAAAATTATTATCCATTCGGCAATTATCTTAGATTTTAAATTTTTATTGGTCATAGGAATTTTGAGTTTTAGAATAATTGTCAATAACTCGAGGTACATTTTGAAAAAATGATAGACGATCATTTTGTGGATTGAAACATATGAATAATTTATTTATCATGTCATTGAAATTATTTTTCGATTTTAATCGCAATGCCGTGTGAATTTTTAATAAGTTTTCGATTAATTTCAGGGACATATCGAATTTTCAGTTTCTAAGCGAAAACCGAGAATTTAATTTTGCATCGGCACCGTTGACGATTTTTATTTTCAATTCAAAGTGTAATTTTCCAAGAGCGCAGATGACCCGAATGGATAATCTTTTTTCATGATCATCCTCCCCTGGAGGTATCTCCTTGAATACCAGTTGTCACCGTCTCGTGACGATCGCAAGAAGACGATATCCTCCTCTTCTCTCCCTTGACTGTGCGGAGCGTGCTTACTATCATTTATTACCATTTATCATTTCTTCTCTTCGCTCTTATTTTGTTCCTTTCCCTCCTGTGACCTGAATTGATCTCAGGTGAGCCAGCTGCGTGAGGTATTGACTGCCGTGAAGAGGCAGAATGCAACAACACTACCAACAACGATATTCGAGGATACGATGACCATTGAGACGACACTGATTGACCAGCACACAACTTCCTACCCCGTCGGTTGTAGGCAGCACACGACACCCCCCGTTTACACTAACACGTCGAACACGGGCCCCCATTGGCTCTAGCCGTTCACGGTAACTCACGTCATGGATTTTAATTTGAAAAAAAAAAAGCTGACGAAGAACAGATAACAGATATATGAGCAATGAGATGAAAGTTTTCTGAAGAAAACCTACCCCTTGGTTTTTCTTGGAAAAATTTTACACACCTCAACCTTTCTTGCTGTAATTACACCCACCCCCCTCTTCCCCCCTTCATCCCAACAGTTACCAAGAGCTACGTTTGATTATAACATTACCCTCATTACCCTATTGTATTTTTACGCGAGTATAGTGTGTCCATTGTTAAGGATGTTATGGCGTTTGGGTATCGGTGATTGATTCAATTTTTACGGTCTTTTTTCCCTTTCATTCAGAAATTCTAGGGAATTCGTTTCGTGGAATTAGAAAAGAAAAGTGAAAGGTACATTTTATTATTGGAAAGTTGGGAGTTATTTGGGGATTTAATGAGATATTAAGAGGGGGTTGAAATGTACATTTTTTGGTGGAATATTTATTTATAAAATGACACGATTAAGTTACAGATGTTAGAGAAATATTGAGGAATACAGATTTGGGAAAACTTTTGACCGAAACGGTTCAATAGAATTTCTGAAAGAAAGCGCTAGGTTTATTCATTAATTTTATTCGTCTGTTGTGCTCAGAGTGATGACTCATTTGAATCAAAGAAATAATTTCTTTCTATCTTTCAATTCTCCAATTTTTATTCTAGTAGCGCAGCGGTAAACGGTTCCTCAAAATATATTTTATGAATTTTTTGTCATGATAAAATAATAATTTGAAAAAGGAGAAGTCGAAGACTTTTGAGAAATAAATGAGGACAGGTGAAACTATTATTATGAATTCGCCCAAATCAAATGAAATTCATCAATTAATTTGCAGAAATTCATAACAACAGAGTGAGAATGGGTTTTCCAGTTCGCCTATAACATTTCTTTCAACTTGAAGAGTTTTACCGGTTCGCTACTGATTTTGAATTCTATTCAGTTGGAGATCGATTGAATCCATCAACCGATTAACGTAAACCAGTGTTATTAGACACACATGCACCCGCTGTTAGTAAGCACGATAATGTTTTGAGATGAGCAAATAAATACTTAGAGGAGTCCTTCAAAATTCTCTGGAGACATGAGTCGCCCGCCTTGATCTATCCATTGATGTTTCACCCTGAATTATTCTGAATGCGAAGAACTCCTCTATAAAAATTGCGCACGATTTTGTAATATATGTTTGAAGATATAACGAAATATCGTTCATCACTATTAAAATCCATGGCTTGAGTCCATGGCTAGATCACAGTTGACTAAGATGAGAGAACCATACAATAAATCGTTAATTATTTTTTATTTATCATTGAGAAAGCAGCTTACGTAGTACGCACACCACATAAACACAAATCTCGTCCTCAAATGAGTGATTCCATATGATTTCATCCCTCCACCATTTATTAAACCACAATGACATCACAGAAATTAAACAGTTATTTTTCAAGAGTATTTAGTACTGTTTGTAGTCTTAACCGATGATTAACCCCTTTATGTTCACAAGAGTGTTTCGTATTTGTGAAGTTTATTTTGCATCCACCCAACTAATTACACACCCCAAGTTAATAAAACAATTCGACAACCTGTTGGTATCGACAAATTACTACTTATTTACGTTCTTTTTTTTTTCATTTTTTTCTTGTTCATTATCAGGTATTTCTTCTTGCTGAGCAGCGACCAGAGAATTCTACCCAACATTCGGACGAAAGATCCTATGTCTTCCTGCTGTATCCACCGTCTATCGCCTCGACGTTAAATCCAGATTTGTATATTGTTCGGGTGCAATTGCGGGCACTCGTTGTTGGTTTGTTGGTACACCAGATGCTGTTGCACTGCATAGCAAGTGTTCTTTTGTCGAGCTCTGGAGGTTCAATCTCATGGTGAGTTCACTACTCCAAATTTGTGTAATTTAGTCTAGATCTGCAACGCCTAATTCTTTGATCTTGTATTTAAGTCTGTGGACATGTCACTATATTCCTCGTTTTTTCCATAAACTTATGATTTTCATAATTTAACGCGCCTTTATACTACAATGGTGACAAGCCAAAATTATCCGGTGAAATTCCCTCCATCATTTTTCTTTCCGACATAATTAATTTATGTTAATATTCCTTGTGCCGATAATTCCTACCGGTAGAACTCCCCGTATAGCTTACACGGGCAGTTTTTTTTTTAATTACATATTTGGTTGGTGCAAATCTTTATTAATTAATTGTAATACCGCCGACATGGATAGCTCAGTGGCTGTAGGTACGACCCTACACGGAAAGAAATTTGTATGAAAAATTCGTACCAGAATCGCTTGAAAAATTACTGGACTGCGCAGTAAGCATGGAGCAAACCTTAAATATTACAGTCCAGCCCAGTAAAATTTCCCAGCTCCGTCACTGAAAAAAGTAATGAGAAATTCAATAAAATTTACTGGAAAACCAGTAAAATTTACTGTAAGTGGAGTAAAAAGTGAATAACTAGTACGAATACTTCAGGTTTTTAGCAGTACATTTTAAACCATCGAATGAACTTCGGCGAAAATTGAGGATGAGTCCAGTAATTTTTGTTGCCTTGCGCAGTAAATATTCCGGAGAACTGCAGTGATTTTTCATGAATTTCACCTGACTTTTCATAAAGGCAGTGCCATATCCCGCGTTTACTAATACGAGACCAGTAATTTTTCTTATATATTTCTCTTTGTGTAGTGTTTTGGAAGTTGTGAGTTCGATTCCCCGTTGCATTGAATTTTTCAACACGCAACGGTGAGCGCGAGGTTGCTAATATAGTCTTATGTAATCGTGGCCGAGCGAAGCGTTGTCGGCCACAATGACATAAAATAACATCATAGCCACGAAGAAAAAAGGGATTCTAACCCACGCGTTCCTGCCTTCGGCTCGGATTATAATGCCGCATTCGTCAGATTCACTTTTCCCGTCCTAGGGGTGAAAAATACTATTTCCGGTGGTTTCTCGTGTCACCTGTATATTCTATAGGAGAGTGAATACGGTACAGTGTAGGATCCACAGCCACATGCATAGGATTGCATAGAGGTCTAGTAATCGGCCAGAAAAGGGACAGAAAAGCCGGGAATACAAGAAAAAAAAATTAATAACACCTAACTGAATTTGATGAAATTAATTATGATGGGTATGTTTGAAAATGAAAGTAACCTTTTTTAATGGATACAAATTGTGATCTCTGTGTGATTAAAATGCGAAATTGTGTATTCTTTGTATTTTCGTGTACGGAGAGAAAAATACTTGAAAAATTATGGAACTTTCACGTATTCCTGGGGTGACCTTGCTTTTCGGGAAGAAGTACTGGAGGTACCGTAAAATTGTCCTGAAAGTTTCGTAAAAATTCCTGTTCGCTACGAAAATTTTTACGGAACTTTCAGTATTTTTCCCCGAAAACCAAGGTCACCCCACGAATACATGAAAGTTCCGTAATTTTTCGAGTATTTTTCTTTCTGTGCGTAATTATAATACCCGTAATATCATTTGTCTACTGTACAAGTCCTTTTTGAATTGATTTAGTATTTATTTTGGTTTCGTCGTTGAGATCCTTTGTTCGTGGTAGTTCTGTAAAAGGGGATTTTCTCGCGGGTAATTTTGACGAGGGGAATATTGACCTGGGGAATTTGCACGCAGGGAATTCTGACGCGAGAATTTTGATCGGTGAATCCGAGACGTAATCTGTTACAATATCATCACAAAGTAGAAAGTCCCTCGTCCAGGAATTGTCCTGTCCACCGAAATTCCTGGATACCTCCGGATTATCTGAATATTGTGATTGAAAATTAATCTATTGAGTGCAATTATTCCCGAATTTCAGCCTGACAAATTTGATACCGAGCTCAACATCTCCAACATCAAAAATCCCCTCCACAAGCTGCATGTCTCACCTGACTTCTCGTCACATTGACACATTCCTAGCAGCTCTGGATCTGGCATACGCAGCAGCCCTGAAATTCGATGCTCGTCCGGGTCTCAAGTTTCTCCTCCAGAAAGTCGCCAATTTGGAGCAGCCCGCAAACCTCTATCGACAGGCAGGAGCAGCCTGGACAATTAAAATTCTAACGCTCCTCGAGCTTTGTCTGAGAGAGATAACGAAAACTGGAGCTGATCTCGAAATTGTCAAGGCCATAATTTCCAACAGCCTCGAAAGATCCCATGAAAAATCAGGTTATCACGATCTGATTAAATACATTAAGCAATTGCGAACGACTTTTGAGAGTCTGTGTGAAAATTACGTGGACGTTGCGTTAAATCGTGATGGGAAATATTCTCTCGCTGATAGTTTTGCGGAGAGGAAGATTTTCCTCTTGGTGGCGCAGCCCGATGATTTTCCAGAGATCACCAGCAAAGAGTCCATGGACGTTCGTACTTTTCATCCAATGACTCCTGACGAGAATAATCTCGAAATCGCACTGAAGGAATTCAACGAGACAGGAAACACTGGGAAAATCGAGGAGGAATACCGATCCCTCAAGCTTTTTGATTTGGCTTCTGATTATTATTTGGAGTCTGGACCAGAGTCTGCGTCAGAGTCCGAGGACTCAAAACCCTCCTCGCGGCCGGCATCTCCGAGAAAACGAATTGTCTATCAGGCGAACTCTCCAGATCGTAACAATAAAGACGTTCCAACGATTCTGAAGAACAACGAGAAAACGCACAACAATCATATGGGAATCGAAAGTGAAAACTCTCAGGGAGAAATCGTATTTAACTCTTTCGATTATGCTAATGGCAGGAGAAAAAGTGAAAATAGTTTATTATCCAGGAGAAATTCCCTGAAGTTCTTTATGAATTATGATTTGAAGGACGACGCGGTCTTTTCAAAATTCCAGAGGTCAAAATCTCTGATGGAGTTGCACACGGGCTGCGATGATAATTACCCTAAAGTGTCTTCAAAATATCGAGTTGATGAGTCTTTTGAAGGTGAATTAGTTGCTGAGGAGCGGAAATCTTCGGATAGTGCTGAAAATTCGGTGATTAATTCGAGATATGAGGAGAATGTTGACGACTTGTTGAAGGAGTACGAGAGGAGCAAGAGGGGATTCAGGATAAATCCCTTCCTGCAGGATTACGATAGAAGTTTGGGGGAGACGTGTGAGGGCATGAAGAAGGAGAAAATCATTGCTAGGGACAGTGAGGCACATCGAAGGGCTTGGGCTGAGACACTTTGCGCTGGGCTCGAGTGGGCGCTTGCACTTCCGGTGAGTCGAGAAATAAAATCAACTAGAAAAATTATAGTTCTGGCTTAGAGATGCAAGGTGATGTCAGAAATGAAGGACTGTCAGGCCCCAAGAGTATGGCCGTCATGTGACCGTCACTGACGAACAATCTGTTGTTGATAAATCGGTCAAATAACATTTGGTCACTGACAAATTTTTCATATAGGCGGCACGGTCATCTTTTTTGCGTCAGAAATTATTGTCATGTGATTGTCCGTCAGTTTATTTTGACAGTGGAAATTTGATTTAATGGAACAAGTGATTTCTTCATACTTTTCTATGAACAAGTGGCTTTTTCCATAAAGTTTTATACACCTGAATACGATATGATCGGTATGATGCATGCGTCAATAACTGGTCGATCGTGGGTCAGTAATTTGAGGTGTCGCTAACGGTGATATGGCCACTCTGCCACTGCCACTTTGGAAATAATTTTCGATGAATATTCTTTGTGATTTCAGGATGATAATCTGAAGCCACTTCTTCCAGTGTTAGTCGGTGGAGTTAGAACCCTGACAAAGTTTGCAGTTGATCAAAATCTCAAACAAAAACTCTCTACTCTATTCCATCGTATTGTCGTACTCTATGGCTTGACAAATAACTAGACTATCTGAATAATTTTAACCTAAAGCTTAATTATCGAAACATAAGGTTACGCAGGCTGTATAAAATGATTGACTGAAAATTTAAGAGAACAAATTGATGAATTTTAAAAACTATATATCCAAAAGTATTTTAACTGAATATCCATTCCATCGTATTTGATAGCTTTGTTATTACGATGGGCTATTGCTGACACAATAATATTCGTAATGCATGGACATGTGTCTGGATGTCAAATGTATGATACTGTAATGTCCAATATATTATTTTTCGAAGTGCTGTTACTGGTGGAGTGAAAAATTGATGAAAATATACATTTGGAAGGATTATGACTGCTAATGTATCGAGTTCTGTATCAAAGAAATATATCGACAATATAAATCCTCATGATACTTCTAATATCGTATTAGCACCGGTTCCTTGGAACCTTTTTTTAGCAAATCCATAAATCAGGACAAATGGAAAAAAATTCTTGGAGAAAAGGAGACAATGCTTCACGTCTGCGGTTCTTATGCGCTCCGACCGCGTCATTCGTGGCTCATAAAGTCGAGAAGCTTACGAGCGACATTCTCTTCTACTTCAACCCCATCCGCTTAACTTCATGACAATAAACGCCACTAGGAGATACAAGGGGACGAGTTTTAAATGTGAGAAGAGGGAAGTGTAAAACAATAGTGAGAGATATGAGTTGGGGAGTGGGAAAAGGTCAAGCGTCAGGATCAAATTTCATTTCGACCCTTCGGGGACCGATGTTGAGATATTCTCGGAATTTTTTTCCTTTTTTTTCGCGAATCGCTGAAACTTTGAGGCATTCCGAAAATTCGGAGACAATTTTTTGGGAAGGAAAGGGGGATATTCTACTATTTTTATGCGGCCACTTAGAAATTTTGGGGGAATTTCGGTAAATTTTTAATTTGTGATTTTGTTGCTAATTTGGGAATTTCATGAATTTATCCCATTTTTTCGATTAATGCAGAACATTGCTTGAAATTTTGACATAATGTTTTTGAAGCGATAACAGATGCTTGCCTGAAATTTGAGATTAATTCACAACACCGTTTTGTGGTTATTAATTATTAAAGTTTTGTATTAATACGGCTTCTTATGGAGAAAATACAAATTTCTATAAATATAATCCAAAATATAAGATTTTGTTGAAATTTTGAAAAATTACCATTGAGGCAAATATAAAACGATGGTAAAAATTTCCTGACGATTGACTAAAATTTTTTTTTCATTAATTTGTTTAAACAATATAATATTTATTCATAAGATTAAAGAAATATATAGATATAAATCAAATGGATATATGTTTAATTAAAATTATTTATCTTTTTCGTAATTCCAGAGCGAAATGTGGTTGTAGGAAATTTTACGGAACTATCACGTAATTTCTATCTAAAGTCACGGAATTTTTCAATGAATTATCTCTGAAAAATTACGATATCGTCACTTAAATTTTTCGAGTCGATTCCGTAATCAGTAAGCGAACCGAAAGTTCCGTAATTTTTACGAAATATTTCTCTCCGTGCAGAAAGGGTCATAAACTTTTGTTTCGACCATACGTGTCATCCACCCTTAAGTGAAAAATACGCAAAACATTTTCACACGAAAAAAAAAAAATCTATGAAAAATTACGTCAGCGTTTCATGATCCGTATGTTACCCTGCAATACCGTTCATTTTCACGAAAATATTGAATCAAAAATTACGGAACGTTCGGTGAAAATCACTGAAGACTCCCGTAAAAATTGCGTGAATTGCAAAGTCACATCCGAATTATGAAACTCTCACGTAATTACTCTTGGTTTTTTTCCCCGTTCAATCAATTAGGTGGAATGGGTTGTATTGGAGAGTTGATGAGTGATAAAGGAGAAAAGGGCTCATGGGGAGGAGAGAGGAGAGAGTACCAATGGTACTTTCAGTCGAGACCGCAACTATCCATCGGCACACGCAGGCAAACGTTTAAATATTATATGGTGAAGTCTCTCAGAGTATTCAATGGTGTTTTGTGATCGTAAAAACGACGACTGTGATAAAACGATCGTGTTTGAGAATTTTACGAGTTGAATTTTACTTTCAAAAATTATTTTCTTCCATTGCACTCTCCGTTAACACTAAAATCACGATTTAGCTGATTTTTTTAGTAGTTATCAATCTTGAATATTCATATGAAAAGTTGCGGTGAAGAGCGCCGATTTATATCATGACAGATAACCGACAACTTTTTATGAGAATATTTTATTACTATTGCGTGCTTTTGTTTAAAATGTTATAAAATACCAAAGGACAAGACTACACATGTCTCATCAATAAAATGATTTTCCCGGAAATTCTTTAATTGATCCGAAAATATTCACTTATAAATTCACTTTTAAGATCGAATTTTAGTCGACAGAGTTCGGGTGACTTCAGGGTCATCGGATTTGGGGGCACTTGACCGAGAAAATCTCCGATATAGTCCAAGGTAAATTCCAGAAGAAAGCATTTTTCTCATCCAACCTGCTTTATTTGATAAAAAGGCGTATTTTGATGATACAAAACACTGGGAGAGATTCGGAAGTTCCAACTCTGGAAAAAGAATGGAAAGAAAATAAAAATCACCCTGTGAATCCGTTTTTTGCAAATAAGTCGCAAAATATGTGAGATACAGTAAGCAGGGTAAAGTACAAAGTTATAGACCTTGGAATTCTTAACAAAAAACATTCAGGGTATTTTACCGCTATTCTCAACCATTCATCTCTTAGAGCCGTCCAAAAATGTGGCGTAAGAAAATGATTTTCGCTTCTACCGGCGTTTTATAAACCACGCGCATGCGTGTGACGATCACACGTGCTGGTTAATCCAACATGTGTTAACATTGTTGTAAACAAAACAGATTTATTTCAGATAAATTACGAATTTCTTTAAAAATATAACTTCAATGTTTACAAACGATCCAAAAAATCCTTACGTTTCCAATAATTTACAATCATTTTTTGATCCATCTGAAATTTAATACGAAGAAAATGTGAGTGTTCTCATCAGAAAAATTTTTTGTTTAAAATTATCTGTCGTCAACCCAAAAAAATATAATTTCAGGATTTCACAAGCTCCTACTTCAAGCTCTGCAGAGTCTGAAATGAAGACTTTGTACTTTGAGAACTTTCAATACAAGATTTTAAATTTCAACTTCATTTTTTTTTTGAGCAAATGACTTGGTAAAAGAAAGGAAAGCATTAGATGAATTAAAAAGTCCTTAGTACGAGTGAACCTATTTCCTTCATTAACTCGGTCTCATTATAATTCCAGTACAACCATAATTTCAAAATGGATGACAATGGGGTCTGCACTATTTGTAAAAAAAATGTTGGCAATTGAGCAAATTGAAGAGATAAAGGAGAAGCAAATTAATATATTTATAAGGAAGAGTAAAGCACAAGAAGATGGCTTTTGGCAATCCTGGAAAAATGAAGGGCCTGTAAAACCTCATGTGATTTGTAGAAAATCGTATTCAAGTCTTCCTGGCACGCCACCATTGAGGAAAAAAAGGACGGAAACTTCAGAGCCATCTTCCTCCATGGGACACCCAGAAATTGACTCCATTGAAAAACCCATCGACGATGTGAACAACATCAACAACTTTGATTTTAAAGATCTGTGTATAATATGTGGTAAGAAGCTGAATCCTTACCGCAAAGAGATAAGACGAGTTCAGGATCCACTGTTAAAGGAGCGATTCATAAAAATGGTAGAATGGTAGGTGGGCGATGAAAAGAATGCAGAATTTATGAGCCTGTTAAGGAATACCCCTACCCCCCACTTCTGGCAGTAGGGGCTGCTCATCATAAAGCATATTATAATCCGTTATTCAATCCACTAAATTCTATACCACTGATTGATAATTCCCAGAACAAAGAATCATTCCGGAAAGTTTGCAGCTATTTGGAAAATACAACTTCATTCAAATTTGGTTTAAAAGAGTGGCGGGATGTACTGGGTGTGAACACAATGAATAATTAAGTTTTTTAAAAAAAATTGAATCTTAAGTATGGAAATGAAATTTTGGTTAGTCGTCAGTCTGGTCGGGAGTCGTGGATTTTTTATAAACCTTAATAAGCCCGGGTCTAACATATTTTTTAACTTTATATTCACATTTCTGACAATTATTTCACTCAACAATTTAATAAACAATTCATCAAGTCAAAAACGGATGTTTATACAATATAATATCATATTATACAAGTTTAGGTGGTTCAAGCCGAATAACGTACATCAATGAGCTTTTAATTAAAGTGCGTGTTACTTGTCTTTCAAATTTATCTTCGCACCCTTTCCCTCAATCAGGCACAATCACATTTTCTCCTGAAATCCATCGTTGTCTATTCATCAATCTTCAACAAATGTAAAAAATAAGATCTTGCAAAATTTCTTTTTTTATCCCCCAAAATAAATCAGATTTGAGTAAAAAAATGTCAGCGATTGAAATAAATAATTTGAGTGGACACACTTTCCATAATTAGACGATAATTTTATTTCAATGTAAAATATTGTATGTACATAATCAGAATGAGATAAATTACAACTCACGTCTCCCAAATAAAACGATAAAATACATTGACACTATATCACTAATCCAGTGTTCAATAAGTCTTGATAGTTCACTCAACTCGATAGATCAGCTAGTACGGCCTCCACACGTCATTTCTCTGTTCATTCTCCTCACCTAGAACACCAATCTCGAGTCTATTACTGCTTATCGTAAGATTACCACCGGCAATTGTCACTTGATCATCACTCAAATCACCATGAAGATGCAGATGTATCTGATTCTGATTGACAGTACTGTAGAGCTGGGGATAGAGTACCATTGGCGTTGGACTTATGTAGTTTTGACTCGGACTGTTGTAATAACCTTGATAATTCGTGTTGTAATTGTGAGATGGTACCGGTACGGGTGTTGTGGGTCCAGATGTCCAGGAGCCGTAATGATAGCCTGATGTACCACCCCCTGGGCCACTTCCGGGGAAGATCTCAGAGTCTGATGATTTAGATGGGATGAGGGGAAGCGTCGAAGATGATGTCGAGTGATTTGGGTACATCGACACGCAGTTTGGGGTGTACGCGTCTTGCGGGTTGTCCGGTGGTAGCACTGGAGACATAAATTACTCACATTCAGAAGAAATAAGAAAAAACTTCAATGCAGGCCTGCTGTCAATTGGCAAGTGGCAAACTAGGATGATGATGAGGAAAAGAACTTCTACTGAATTAATTCACTTTAAGGGAATTTACTTGACACAAGTAGTTGGATAAATAAATGAATATTTACATCTTAAGGGTCTCGAATTGTGAGACTTGAACTCAATTTCAAATTTAGGGTACTTTAATTTATTAATTGCACAGTAAAGAAGATTTATTGTGACACAAAGACTAATTGGTAATGATGATATAATGAATAATTAGTAATATTTTCAATAGATTGAAATTTCATGGAAATTTTTGATTGAGTTTTTGAAGTTTTTATGGTTTCTGAGTCATATAGACCTGAAAACTCAGAAATGCTCGAATACCAAAAAAAAAAAAAAAATTGGCTGATTCGTCAATGAAAAATTCAAGAGAAATTTCATGTCATTCTGTGACTGGTAAAAATTTAAAATGTTTTACTTGAAATTTTAAGGACAATTGTCCAACAGTGTGAGGTACAACAAATTTGTATCATCAGAGCATGAAGTACCTGTGGGTAATGGCACGGGTTCAGTTGTTGGATGATGAGACAGGGATTCCCCGGGATATGTAGAAAATGCACCTCCTGGAAGAGGTGAATACGATCCTCCGTCGCTGCCAGATGGAGCAGGATAGGATGGAGCTGCTGAGGGGTAACTCCACTCTGCTGTACTTGCAGCATTATCTGCAACAAAAAAAAAACAATGAAAATAAAATCAAAATCTCAAAACCCGAGAAACATTCCATCTCGAGTTATCAAACTACAAATTTTCTCCATTTTAATTACAAATTTCGTTACACACCCATAATATATTTCTGTATAACATATTTTCCGCAGAAAATGATTGGTATTTTTTTTTGTGTAAGTGTGTAAGTCTCGTCATCAACTCGTAAATGTGTCTCTCTCTTCGTTCAACAGCGAAATAACTGGAAAGGAATTACGAACGATCGGATTTCCCATGGTTTTATGACTCGGATAAAACAAAAATAACACGAGATAAAATATTCCGATGTCGCCATAACTAATTTCGTGCCGCAGCTTGATGACTCTCAATAATTCAACCATTTTTCCGTCATGTGAACGAGACCCTCGGTTTTCAATTTACTCAGAACAATTTCTAGTTCTGGGGAAATTGAGGTAATGGGAGTGACAGAGAAGTGAGACACAATTTGCTAATTGGAAGAACAAACGATTCGTCCTCTTGAGTTGAAAATTGGAAAAATTGACAAGAATATTTTCTCCGCGCCAAAAATGATTTATTCTCACTGACAAAAATTTTTTGTATTGAAAATTACAATATTTTCATGAAGTTTCACGCAATTACAATTTTTTGGTAAAAATTCAGAAACATGGAATTTTTACCAAAAAGAGTTGTCATTTTTACTATAAAATACTTGACTGTTAAAAATTTCTCGAAATTTCATTAATCTAAATTTTCAATTTTAGAAGTTCAATTCACCCTCAGTGGGAAACTTCATTAATTAATTAATTAATTAATTGAATATTGAAGAATCCTCCAGATTTCTGATTGTTCATTACAATATCAGAGTAAAAAGAATTATAAATTTTTCTCCGCGTCTATAATTTAATCAATAATATGAATCAGTGTTTCCTCAATCTATTTCAAGATGGAACAGTTCTTCTAATAATGATTCGTCTTATATGAAACCACTAGTGACTGGATGAATCATTTTGATTCATTAATGCTGTCTACTATTACTCATTGCCAGACCAGCGGATGGTAGTCATAGGCCATCGATGTCTGCATATTAATGAACTGTTCCCGCCAAACTCATTCCACAATAGCATGATTTTGCACTGACTTTTATATCTCCTTGACATAATGACAAGAGTGAAGAAATCCGTGTTTATTAGCACGTCGTCGCATGATGCGTATTACTTAACGAATAATCGACATTGAGTGACGCACAGAATTCATTCATCAGAATGTGTCACGTACGCGTGATTTTTTCCTCTTTACAAGTTTGATAGAAATTTTTCGAAGGGAATGTTGACTGAATTACGTCAATTCCAATCGTTCGCGTCCAGAGATACAGAATTCCTTGAACGATTCAATATTAATCTTTATTCATTAAAATCGAATTCTTCCGTAGATTAACGGTTGATTTCATCTGTATCCCCATGGTAAACCCTAACAAAACATTGGGACACGGAAGAAATGTGAAAGCCGAAAATTTGGGAAGAGTGACTTTTTTCGAAATTGAATTTCTCTCGGAGGGAGGGAAGTAACTTTTTTAGATTACTGAAGGAAATTTTCGAAAATTGTATCATTTCGACGAGGAAAAAATGGATTTTTCGATTTTTCAATACTGCGACTATGAAATTTCAGCAGAAGTTGAAGACAAGTTGATAAAACTTCCGAACTTGAACCCTAATCTAACCCGAAAATGATCAATAATGCGTATAACCAGCAACAAATGCATCACCATCGAAAACTATGTCAAGCAACAGCTTGTGGTGCTCGTTTGCGAGGTCAAGGTCGTGCTGACCATTACTTTCCCGAGTTGATCATCTCAAAGGAATACCGCCTGCGGGTGTATTTCAACAGTACCTAAGAGCCCGTTGGAGGGATGGATGATTACCAAAAGTGGGGCCTCTGTGTATTTGCCGCTATTACCGGAATAACAATCGCAAAACAAAGGACCACGCCAACCTAGTAGAACGGTTGAACGAACCATCTGTTGGACAACAGCTTCGGGTGATCATTTTTATACTTCTCCCTTTTTTCTTCGCTTTGTCTCGCACTTCCCATCCTAGTGCACGGAACGGCAGGATGAGACGATTCGTAACGAAAGAAGGTTGTTATTTTTTCGTATACATTCATTTCTCAGTGGAAGAAATTTCCATACGCCGCATCACATTCAAGTAGCTGAGCAATTTGAATTTCAAAAGAATACCTGTATTAAATTGACTAAACAGTGAGCGGAATTACCACCGGTGGCTTGACGCAGTGGATAAGTCCGTTGTCTCACGTGCGACAGGTTGCATGTTCAAATCCCAGTCGAGTACAATTTTTCAAGTTCTGATCAATCGTTCTTATCATTTAAAGTTCATGAAAGTATCATTTAAAGTTCATGAAAGTATCATTTAAAGTTCATTCCAAATTCTGATCAATCGTTGTTATCAGTTAAAGTTCGGTTAAAGTTCATTCAAAGTTGTCATCAATCGTCGTAATATCCTAATCGGGTCAAGGCAACCTAGGGCAATGTGAACTTTGTGAAGTAACTATTAGAAAAAAAGGACGTAAAAAGGAGTTGAGCCCTGGGGTAGCCGGAGGCATCTACACGATTGCGCACGAGTTCTCACCAAAGGAACTTCTCTCGTTCGACCGGGGCCCTGTTTACTACCGCTCTGCGGGTGTGAAACCACAGCTGAGCGGTTTTGGCGCATAGTCCTCCTCTCTCCGCCATCTACTTAACGAACCATCCATTGACCGTCATTTCGACGTTTTCGCGGACTCCTCCGCCAACCAATCCAATGCAGTCGGACAACACGAAGAAATCCATGGGCTTTTAATGTCTTAACCTAAACCCGGAAACAAAGGACACCGGAATTTATATAGGAAGTGGGTAGATAAATCCAAAGAACTGGTGCTTCCACGCGGTCATCCATTCAAGTACTAACCATGCTCAATATTGCTTCAATGTCAATTTCTATGATCGAACGAGAATAATATTTTCGTGCTTAACGAGCGTCTGCTGTACGTCAGTGTGCACTCTTCAAAAATCACTTGAAATGAATTTCTCCCACCATTTTTTCAAAATATTGAGGTATAAACCGTCCGGAGGAGTAACACAATCCCTGCGACTGGATACTTTATAATAAAAAAAAGTCGTTGATGGAAAGCGATACGGGGGAGTGAGAGGAGTACCTCTTCGAGAGTTTCCTGAGGGAGTCACCGTATGCGTAAGACTTCTCTTCGAATATCAGCCTTCATCTCCACATGACGAACAAAGATGGAATAAAAAAAATCCAAAAAATGTAAATGTGTAACGTGCAACACTGGTTATAACTGTACGGATATCGGACGAGTATATCGATACGACGCAATATCGACTTACGTTACACGATCGAGTGAGCATCTATCTCGGTGGGAACCGAAGCCCCACTGTGACGACTTGAAGAATTAAAACCGATTTCACCTCTGGATCATTGAAATTTTACAAAACCATTATCGTAAATTCTGTCCGAACATTCTGTTAGAAACTTCTACGATTTTCCCATAGCTTCAGTCCAACAAGTTGATAACAATTTCTGTAATCCAGCCGCGATAATTAAAGTTCAACTCAATCAAAATTAGATGAAAATTGAAATTGCATTCAATTAATTACAGTCTAGCCTCTGGACTTAATTCGATAAAAAACCGTACAGAAGTTTTTGCATTGAATTCTATCAGATCCTCTCTTGGAAATTAGTTTTTAAAATGTATTTCACAATTGATGCACGAGTTGCTAGGCAGATTCCCTTCCAAAAACGTGTTTTTTACCCTTTTCTCTGCTGCAATTCCCATGGCTTCAATTTCCATGCATCCTGCTTCTCTCACAATTTTTTTCACATCGCGTAACATATTCCTTCTTTCCAAAGTGAAAGAAGAACCGGACTGGCGTAATTTCTGATTATTTCAAGCTTGGCAACAGGAAATCAGACGATTTTTGGAACAATAGGAAAGAGTCACAGCCTCGCACGCATGGGCATGATTTTAAAATGGATAAAAAAAATCGTCAGGATCACGAAACTTCACATTTCCACTCTTCCATTGACAATGGACGACAGAAGGATGAGGTGAAGATTGAATGGGCGAAAACATTGATGCTGAGATTCAGATGATCGTGAGGAAAAAAATACTCTTTCTTCTTCGGTGGCTCTCTCTTGTGTTTTGGTTGCGACTCCTTTTCCCGGGGGTTCCCCTTTTTTTTTCCTTCGCTTCGCAATTTTCGGGTGAAGTTGAATGAAGGCAGTCACGGCGTTGTGTATGAATGGGAGTTACCTATAGCGTGTCCGGAAACCGGGTCTTCTTCCTTTTCTTTCTATCATTCATTCTTCCTTTCTTTCTCCCTCGTATCGTTGGGTTTATCCGTGGACACCGCATTCATGGGCCCTTTCCATGGGGAGAGGTAACAGAACCCCCTTCTCTCTCCCCCCAAACCTTCCCCCTCGGTTCTTAACGTAATTGCTAACCACCACGAACATGACTTACGATCCTTCGACACCCGTTCGTTCATTGATTCCATCAATTGAAATGTACGGTCATTTTTACACGTGTGAAATCAACACGGAAAAATTTTTGTTTGTGAGAAACTTTAAACTTTTTTTTTTTACATATTCAATTAGTAATTTATATTTTTTGAATCAATAAATAACGGGTGAATCCTGAAATATTATACATACATAATATTATGCGATAAAATTTCACAAATAAAAAATAACTATATCACCAAATCGTAAGTTGCGTACTTATGACCACTCACACAAAGTCACGAAAATGTGAGTAAATTTCAATATTATATGAAATACCAGTACTTGTTCCATCGGTAAGTGAATAATAAGAAAAGTACTGGAAGAGTTGAAACCAATCAAAGAGAAATGTGAAAACCCGAACTCGTGGGGAGAGCTAGAGCACATTGGAGAGTAATTAATACACTTCTAATTACCTCTAATCATCA